GGGCCGCCACTGTCCTCCCTAGCCTTCTACAAATTGGGTATTAACAATTTAAGCTCTGATATTTTCCCCTTCATCATACTTGAATTTTGTTATTGTCATCTTAGGGTCACACAAGCTGGTGTGCTTCCATTTGGACTTAGTTGCCTCCTCACTTCGATGGCTGCTTGTTTGAATACAAGCTCTGTTAGTCTGGGTGGACTAGAGAAACAAATCCAGGGAGACTCCTGGGTGTGTAAGAAAGAGTTTTCTTTTTTTTTTTTAAGAGAGAGTTTCCTATCAAAGAGTCATTGTATACTAAGAACACATCCCAGCCCAGTCCAGATCATGTTCATAAGTAAGATTAGCCCATATGTTCAACATCAGTCTATAAATTCCTCTTCTGACTCACACAACGCATTCAATGATGCTGAGTGTAGGAAGATCACAGGCCAGTGGGTAGAAGGTCTTGTGGATCCAGTGACAGTGGAAGCGTCTCAATACTGGCGTGGGTCTCCACGTGTCTCCTCCAGCTCTCTGAGTGTCTCAACAGCAGGAAAGGGAAGGCAGAGAGGGAGTGTGTACCTCCTCCAGGGAGGAAGATAGAAGTTCCCAGAATTCTCAGGAGAAGGCCAGGCCCACACAGAGGTATGATTGGCTATGACCTGATTGACAGGAGATTATGTAACTGCCATAGACCACCCACACTGTTTTCTGGAAAGGACAGAGAAGTGAATGATTCCTAGAAATTGTCTTTGGTTAACCATGTCTGAAATAGTGAAAATGATTGTGATAAATGTGAATCTTGCGCTTGAGTGGCAAAATCACTTATTGAATTTCTGAGACAATGCTGCTTAGTTAAAATAGCTGACAGAAGGCCCCACCCTGGCTTGATGAAGTCAGAGGTTTAATAGGCCATATTTCATACCAATGGGATAGTTTAGATAAGGATTAAGATCAGATAGACAAGGATTGAACTTGACTATTTTAAGAATTGAGTTTAGGATGTGGCTGTACTAGGTTTATACTGTTTTCTTCAGTTTTTTGTTATTGATATAATGATGGATAGAAATGATTCTTGAAGATATGAAAATAGAGAACTTGTAAGCCCATTTGTCTTCAGCCGTTAATTTGAATCTTTATATGGGTTAGGGCATGCCTACAAAGAGACTCTGAAAAGATAAGCCCCACCCAGTGCTTTAGTGTACTCAGACTATTTGCATTCAGAGAGACTTGCCTAGGGTGCTGTTGACAGACTGAAGAAAAATGGAACTATTTGAATTTTGAACTAGTGATTTGTGCTTGAAACTGGAAAAATTTGGAGCCATGGAAGGGACTCTGTGCTCTAGGACTGAATGTTAGAGGGAGCAGGCTGAAATGCTTGCTAGGTGACCACCTGTATGTACTAGTTGAGTGAAAGTGAGAGAAACACAGCAATAGAGATGGGTTGAGTCTG